TGGACTCCGCTTTGTCCACGGTGAAAGTTAATGTATTCCCTCAGCGACCAGCACAGATCAGCTCCAGGCATGACGAAGCGGATATCGTCCTCTTTTGGAAGACCAAACGAAGTAGTTTCGCTTTCACAAAGAAGCACACAGCGTCTTCAGGACATGAATGCAGCATCAACAATACTACAGCGAGACTAAAAGTTACGCCTTCTTTCTTTGCGTGAACATTTGGGCGGCGTTATGCAAATCTTCCCAGATCATGACGTAGGTATGTGGGGGCGTGTTAGAACGAGCCGTTTTAGGTAGGCGTGGTTAACTCTTAACTTTTATAAAGAATATCTCTTTGGTTTTGAGACTTTAGTGTTTGCAACTTTACAGATCTTCTTTATGCACCAAGAGTTGTAACACTCCAAAGAGAAAGGAAAAATTGAAATCGCATCATATGACCCCTTTAATATGAAATTATATACAGCGCGTGTGTGCAATTGAAGAGCACGTGCTACGAGCTCAGTATAATGGCTGACAGGACAGGAAAAATAATTTTTACTGATCTATAGCCTGACAACATCTCATCTGACCGCAGTGCACTGTTGTTCTACTGAAGCTCCCTCGTCACCTTTATCTTTTCCATGCTCGTTTGACTAGTGCCTAGTGCTGAAGTTGGAACGCGTATTTGAAAAGTCTTCCGCTTGATGTGGTTGTAAAGACATTCTGCGTGTAAATAAACGCAATTCTTGTCAAGAAAAAAAGTGACAGAAGCAGCAGTTGTGAGGGGTGGCCAACCCTAGCTCCACCTCTGTGTTAATTGCGTTAAATATTTTAAACGTGTTAAACTGAAAAAATTAATTGCATGTGTTAACACGCTAATTTTGAGCTAACACTACTCTGGATATTATTTTCATTTGTGCCGTATACCTGATTATTCTTAAACATGAAAATTTTTTATTTTTTCAGCTGACAACACAAGATGTTAATGCTCCTTTTATTAAAAATCCTGTCATCCAGTTTTCTTCAGGTTTCATTCTAAGATTAAACTGTTTGCCAAACATCTCACATCACAAGTGAGATCTCAGTTGCCTGACACTGAAAGCAACTGAAGAAGCACTCTATTTCCTCTGTCAATTACTGCCAGAAACAGCTGTATCTTTCCTTTTTGTGCGTGTGTGTGTAAATCACTCTCTTCCTCTCTCTCACACAGCTCCAGGTATCCACCACTGACCTGAGTGGCAAGTTGGTAGAGGGACCTGTAGACCTGGACGTGTCTGTTATTGACCAGAATGACAACCGACCCGTCTTCAAGGAGCCGCGCTACTCTGGGGAGGTTCAGGAGGGCTCCCCTACAGGTACTCTTCCCTGACCTAACAGTGCTCATGCTCTTGCGGTTGAAATGGATGTGTCTAGGGAACTGATTACTGGAAGAAGAAAGTCGAGCTCAGAGTTGGCTAAAGGTCTAAAAGTCTTTGATAATAGTGGTTGGAGAGAATATTATGGTTCAGTGTGATGGAACAAGCCTGTGGACGATAAGGACTGTAACTTTGGTTGTTTCTCATTAGTTGGGTTTGAATTTCCATTATTTTGCCGCATACTCATAATAATTATCCGCAGGGATAATTCTGCGTACTTGAATGATACTTCAAATTGTGTGACTTGTTGAAGAGAGGTGTTATGTTACTTTAATTGAGCTTGTGATTTTCACCTGGCAGACAGTAGAACTGGTGGAAAAAATCCCAGAGAACTTTTGAAGGAGGGACCCAGCAATATTGGTTTTCAATGAGGTTTAATTTGCAACGAAGATAAACATGGTTTGTGTTGACCACAATATTGCACAATTGAATTATTGGCATGAAACCACTGAAATATAGAAAACTAAATTATCTTTTTTCCTTTCTAGCTTACTGTATGTTAGTTATTATTATTATTATTATTATTATTAGTGGTCAGTAAATATTGATAATAATAATTAAAAAAAATATTTCAGCACCAAATCAGCACTTTAGAATGATTTCTGAAAGATTATGTGACACTGAAGACTGCTGAAAATTCAGCATTTATATATATGTGTGACCCTGGAGCACAAAACCAGTCTTAAGTTGCTTGGGTATATTTTTAGCAATAGCCAAAAAAACATTGTATGGGTCAAAATTATCGATTTTTCTTTTATGCCAAAAATCATTAGGATATTAAGTAAAGATCATGTTCCATGAAAATATTTTGTACATTTCCTACCGTAAATATATCAAAACTTAATTTTTGATTAGTAATATGCATTGCTAAGAACACTTGTTTTTGCACCCTCAGATTCCAGATTTTCAAATAGTTGTATCTCAGCCAAATATTGTCCTATCCTAACAAACGTATGGGTCACACACACACACACACACACACACACACACATATATACTGTATATATATATTAAGAATACGAGAGTGGAGATTATCATAAAAATAATCTAGAAACTGTCCAGATCACCTTGGCAACACGTGACCTCATATAGAATAATGCTGCGAGTTTTGTACAGGCCAACATAACGCAATTCTCTTCAGATTTAGTTTTTTCTAAAAAGAAAGTTTTTAAGATTTAATTGCTACACAAATAACGTATTTTACATCATGGCATCCAAAGCGTTTGCAGAGGGTTGCGCAGGATCTCTTTTGTTTCTTCTCAGCATAGCTATAAAGCAAAAATTACATGTTTTATTTAAAAAAAAATTGTAGTACACTTTCGAAGTCATCCCTAATGAGCAAACACATTATCTCCGAGCGTGTGTTCACACCGCGCGCCACAAAGATATCTTTGCCGAGCTAATTGTGAGCATCCCTCACAAATGGCAGCAAGCGTTTATCTCGCCACCAGAGAATGCTACATTGTTTTCATGATGTGTCTGATAAATCAAAAAAGAATTGAACCATTTACAGACTGCATGACACTCTCTTCAGTCCCCTGCCCTCCAGAAATAAGAAATTCATTGAGACACAACCCCATCCTTAGAGACCTCAGTACTGCACTTCCATTTCTCAGACCTTCCATCATTTTTCCTGTGATTCTGCAGCAATTCCATCACATCACTTTGCTGCTTTCTTTTCTACTTACACTTTTTTTTTTTTTTGGTTTTTGTGGCCTGTCACCATGGAAACCCCAAAACACAAGAAACATGGTTTCAGTGAGTTAAAAAGAAGGAATTTCGCCGACCTTCATCACCCACACTCTCACCAAAAATACACCCAACAAATGTGAACTCTAAATCAATGAGAATGGCGAGCATAATAGGACGGGAGAGATCATATCAAATCTTTTTCTCTGTGAAGAGTGGGCTGTGCTGCTTTCATTACAACATAAACAAACAGACATCAGCCTCAGACATCAATGATAAGGATGGGATGAACCAATCCAGGATCAGCTGCACACAGTTCCTCACAGGTACACCAGAGTAGGTGGATACCATGTGCCTCTTTGCAGATACATTTAGCCAGTGAATGGTATTGTGTGCTCAGTCAGGAGTAAGTTAGGGTGGAAGGAGATGAGAGTCCCTAACAGTGGGAAACTTTCCACTGCTTCCAGAGTCGCTGTAACTAAGTTAAGCAAAGTGGGTTTATCTAATCGGCAAAAGAGGAAATGAAATTTGGCTGAAAGACTTAATTAAATTAAACTAAGACCTTCATGCACCCAGGGAGAAGATAAACACCCACAGGCCAAGCACTGTTCCATTGGCTTTAGTCAGAAAGTGTGTCTATATATAGGAAAGCTATGTTTTATACTATATAAAAAATAAGTATATTATAATAATTATAAAAATGCTAAATATTTTTTGTTAAATATTATATTTATATTAATAAATTATTTTCATAATGTCCTTCAGCCATTTATTTATTTATTTATTTAGTTTGTGTATATATAATCTGAAAAAAACATGTTTTTAAAATGTTTGTAGTATTTTTAAATGTTTAAATACAAAAAAAGTTTCACTGTCTTATATAAATACACTTTATTGCCATAAGGACTGAGTGCCTCTTTTAAGTTCATTTAAATTTTAATTTTTTCCCTTTGGCCTTATTCTTTGCTAAATTTTCATTGGCATGTCTATCACCTTTTAAGATAACTTAATGGAGAAGATACATGATTTATGGAGAGTGGATCCATTTTGATGTCTATTGCCTCTCAATTATAACCATTTTCCTTGGAATAAATTTAAAATGGATCATTTAAAAAGCCTCACACCATTCACCAATAAAAGGGGTGCTTTCTATAGTTCCATTATCTTTCATATTAATCGATATTAGTTGCTTTTATCATTTTCATAGCGTCGTGTCCTGGCCAGTTGTTTAGAGGTGGAAAGTTCCTGTTCAGATTGCCATTGTCACTGTTCTACTCAAGCAGCATGTGTGCAGTGCATTGTGGGTGCAGGTGTGCGCAGCAGGGACTGTTTTTTTTTTTTCCAGTGACTTCCTCTCTCCTTTTTAGGCTTGTGTATGTACGGATGCAGATGTGCACAGTGTGCTTCCTCCGCTATGTCAAACTGTCCTGAGCGCCTGGCAGAGGGAGGATGAATCTGTATTGCTTTTTAACGCCTCTTTTCAAAGGCCTCGTTAAGCACGAGACTATGTCAGTCTGTGTCCGGAGAGGAAATGAAAAATGGGAATTGAGGGCTTTTTAAAGAAGGCTACATTAATCAGCACTGGAACCAACAGTCATGGGCCTCCCACTCGGGTCTTGGGTTTAAGATATTCTGTCCCTACCCCCCGCCTGCTTTAATCAGCATGACCGCTGGCACAGGTTAGAAATTAAAGGGCTCAGCATGGTGCCTGATTAGTGAAACTTTCTGCAAGCTGCCTTTTCAACAAGTTGCAAGACATGTGCGTGTACATGAATGTGTACATGTGTTTACTGCTTACAGTGTTATAAAGTGCTAAGTCAAGTTGGGAGATGTGATGTGTGACCAAATATGGTGTCCCATACTCGGAATTTGTGCTCTCCATCTATCCCATGCACACATACACCGTGGGCAGCCATTTTCTGGGGAGCAGTTGGGGGTTCGGTGCCTTGCTCAAGGGCACAATGATTTCTGAAGGATAATGTGGCACTGAAGACTAGAGAAATGGCTGCTGATAATTCAACTTTGCCATCACAGCAATAAATTACACTCTAAAAATGCTGGGTTAAATATAACCCAGTGCTGGGTTAAAAAGGGACAAACCCAGCTAGTGGGTTGTTTTGACCCAGCATTTTTTAGAGTGTACATTTTAAAAATATATTCAATTATAAAACAGTTATTGTAAATTGCAAAATATTTCATCATGTTACTATTTTAGTGTATTTTTACTCAAATAAATGAGCATAAAAGTCTTTCAAAAACATAAAAAAAAATGTTGAGCCCAAAAATATTTATTTTATTTTATTTTTCGATCACTGTCTTTTATATTTACTCCAGTCACTGTTACTGTTGTTACAGGTTACTTTGGTTGACACAAGAATAGTAAAGGGGCTTGCCTGTTTGTACAGACATTATTTGATCAATTTGGAGTCTCAGTTTGAGAGTCCCACCTGTTTGTAAATGTGTTTTTCAGTTCCAAACCCTCTATGTAATCAGAGCTAATAAAACCAGGTACATGCATTAGTAAATTGGGCCAATGTTGATGGTGGCAGTAATGAACATATGGTTTAAATGTTATCATTCTTTCTCTCTTTCTCCGCAGGCTCCTCCTTCTTCACTCTTTTGCGTGTGTTGTGCGAAATGTTTATTTTGTTCTGAATTGGGAGGACAGTTGCCTATAGGGGGAAACACAGCAGCACTCTGACATTTATGTATGTGGTGATAACTGAGCAAACAGCTAGACTCCTGGCAGGCCTTTATTCGCTCTCTTTGTTTCTTTCCTCTTCCTCTCTCTCTCTATTTCTAGAGGCTATTTTTCTTGGGGAAAAATATCTTCATTTCTCAGTTGCCTTTCCTCTTGTCTGCTAGTTGGTTTTTCTATTTGTGAAGTCTATAAAAGGCTTCCTGGGTTCTTCATTGCACCTGTGATTTTCAGCAGCTCAAAGGAGTGTTCCGGGTTCAATACAAGTTAAGCTGTATTCACAGCATAGCTGGCGTTGTGTTAATACGGAAAATAATTTCAACTCGTCTTTCTCCTTTATACATAGCACACATAAAAAAAAGAAATAACAGTGTCCTCATCAGCTAACCTAGCAGGTAATATAGACACTCTAACAGAGAGAAGCATTGTGTGGTACCAGAAGAAATGAATGACATTTTAGCATTATCCTATGTAGAGCACAACTTATTATAACTACAGTAAATCTTTTAGCTTCTAAATATATGATATGAATATAAATCTAAAATAAAATCAT